CAGTGTAATAATTTAGGTGACACTTTTGTATTACTCGGAAGTGGGAGAATGTTGGGTTATATGAGTAGAGTTTATTTACATTCCATAGATCCTTCTTAGGACTCAACCAAAGGATGTAGAACATGTCATTTCATACAATATACATACACTTCAGAACTTTCAACACAAGTACAAGAACGTATTTCACATATCAATGTACATAAATTTCAGATTCCGTAATACAAGTATGAAAGATAAATTTACAAATTAATATACATAAACCTCAGAATTTTAAATATAAATACAAAACTTGCTTTCCATATACGTAGATTATGGATACAAAGCTTAAACATTTTCAGCAGAGATGAAATCATCTACAGAATAGAAGGAGTGAGTAAAGAGGTAATCTTTCAATGCAGGCTTGAATACCTTTATATCATAATTTAGACTTTTAATTGTTGGTGGAAGATTATTAAATAACTTGATACCTGTATAGTACATTCCTTTCTGATATTTAGTAAAGTTAGCATTTGGCACATAGAGTTCATGTTTACATCTTGTGTTTAAATTATGTACATCTGTATTTCTTTTAAATTTATCCATGTTTTCCACCACAATTGATAGCATTACGAGATTGTGTTTAAGGTTTTAGTGCTGCCTATTAATGTTATGTATGCAATGATATGACAGTAATAACGTTGTTACAAATATCTTGTCAGTGGGTTTAAAGTTGACTCTTTTGCAGTGGTTATTCACAGCTTGAAACTTGTAAAAGTTTGAAGATAAAGGTATTCTTTAATTTATGTTTGTGTGTGTGTGTGTATATATATATATATCTATAAGCTGCATAGAATATAATATACTGAGTGTTGAAAAAATTACAGACACAAACTGCAGGGATGTGTAGAACACTACAAAACCAAAAATAAGAGTGACTAAACTGCTTTGAAGTTGTCACTGAGATACAACCCCAAAAAGTACCTTAAAATGGGACAGTAATCTTATCAGTTGCAGTAATGCAAAAACTGTTTATGATGCTGATGTATGGGGCCAATCACAAGTAGACATGATAATTGAATGACAACAGAGAAACTGGCAGGTGACACTCATGTATTAACAAGTGTAAGCTCCTTGATTATCTGGATGAATGAAGGGAAGAAGATGCACAAATAATCAAAAAACATTTCTAAAAAAAAAATTATGCAACCACAAAACATCACATATTACTTTACATTTTTCACACAACTGGCATTATTTTGAAAAATAGTGTTTATGGTTTTATGGACTGTTTAGACTCACAACAGTATGTATTTTCCAGGCAGCTATAATGTCTCGGTATTCAACACTGCTGTGTCCATTTTCACTCTTATTGTCCCCCATCATCTCCCTCGTTTTGTGGCATTAGCAGTGTTTCTGTCTGTAATGTGCTGGAAGACTGATTCACATAATCACTTTGTAGCCATTTTACATTACCTTCATTAATGTTTTCAGAACTTCTCATACCAGACATCATGTCAAGAATTTTGGAAAGCTGACTTCTGCATTAGGAAAATTTTGTAAATTATCATATAGATCTGTAATGTCCTCCATAATCAAAAAAGTGTGGAACAAAATGCTTGTGGAACCAGTTTTAAAAAATCTCCCAATGCATCTATGATTCTTTCTAATTGTAATTATAGACAGATATACAGTTTGCTCCATTACCCTTGAACAGTTATGGTTTTGGGCTTTTCCACTCACTACAAGTTTCAGTTTGTGGTTTCTGGAAGCATTTCTACAGCACGTGATGGTAAGGCATTCTTTAGGTGATTGCTTCCAAGGAGCACACTTTTTTTCAAACAAGGGTTTTTGTTGGTAAGCCTTTCCAGTACCTAATCTGCAAACCAGTATTTGATTTGGAAGCAATAACTCTGTGCAGGAAGTAAGTATGCATACAGTCCATTTTACAATACACATGGTTGGGCACAACACACAAATACACTTTGACTTGCATGTTGTGGTATGGGTACACGTCATGGTCCTGGATGGTTAAGTGGATGGCATGATGACCCACACCCAGTTGTCAGGCAGTTCCATGTGTTCTAGTGCATGGATCCAGTGCTACAATATCCAGAACAGTTTCTTCAAGTGTTGGTGTCCAGTGGCATTGGTAGGGCAATACCACTGTTTCTCATTCATTGGTCCTGCCAGTGATACACATTTGCATTCAGAAAGTAATATGCTGGTTACCTTAGTTTTAGCAGTTACCTCACTTACCAAGCATCAAGTTGTTGTTTCTTGGATCTACAACCCGGTTGTGGGTTTTTGCCGCCTCTTTTCAGAGGTTTTTTGGTCTTGAAGTGTGCATTTATGAGTAGTGAGTGACCAGCCCACTGACTGTCATTCCAGGATTACTCCATTTGATTTCCCCTTCCTTACTGATGGACTTATGTCATGTAGTGACCATGGTATTGTTAGTTTACAATCTTTGCCTTAAGCACTAAGCTATTAGTGCTGACACAGTCTACATGCTTGTCCCATTTAACAGTACTTTCTGTGCCTGTATTTCAGTGACAACTTACAGGGAATTTGGTTCCTCAGAATTTTTGTGTTTGTTTTCAAGTGTTATAAACATCCGTATTGTTCATGTATGCCATCTTTACCAGGTCTTATATATGTTCTGTGCATTCATATCTTATGAGCAGCAGGAGCTCATTGTGTTACTATAAGTAAACTTGATTAGTGAACACAAAGATGATACAGAGAAGGAAGAAGAGAGTTTAACATTTACAAGGAAAAATGAAAACTGCCTCTTCTCATTTCCTCCTCTACTTAACACATTCACTGCTGTCTAGGTGGTCAGCGAACCTCAGTAACCAATGTATTATTGAGGGGTCTGTGTATGGTATAATGCATCAGAAGTGTTGTAGTAATTTTCTTCAGAGGAACCCATTACATGCATGTGTGTCGATGGCACTGATAAGTGGTAGTTCATATTTCATGTTGGTCAGTTCATGTGTATGTTATCAATTTCTGAAAGTCTTCATAATTTCATACGAATACAAAATGATTTTCCATTGTTGACGGGTTTAAAAGTCTTCATAATTTCATATGAATACAAAATGATTTTCCATTGTTGACACAGTAAGTTCAGTGTAATCTAGTAGTCATTCATTATTGAAGTTGCAGTATGCCGTTAGAATAAAAATTACCGCCAAATTCTGCAACATTTGGTTATGACAAATAGTTTTCATTGGCCCGAAACTTACTTCAGCACAAAGTTAAGAATTTCTGGGGCATTTTAAGGCAGTTTTGTTTGCAAAGGAACTGAAACTGTGTTGCAGGAATCATCAATTCCATCTTCTATGATTTCTAGACTTAGCAAATATAGCAAAAGAAACTAAACCACTGTACTCACAAATTCAGTCAGTCAAGGCTGCTGATACTACAGAGATGTGTGTGTGTGCACACATGTGCACTGCTTGTCTGTCTCATTGGTACCTGGGACAGGAGTCATATGACACATGTATCAAGCAGTAGTGGACATGTTAAGGGTCAGCCAGACAGGATATAACATGGGCCTCGGTAAAGATTTTTGGTTATACATAGTGGACATAAAGGGTGGGGAAAAGTCACTTTTCTGCAGCATGAATTTGAGTGAATGATTCTGGTTTTCAATACCTTTTTGATTATAAAAAGTATAACTGACATGAAATAAGATTCTCTTTTACATGTATTGTGCTTTAGCTTTATAGCTAGCTGAAATTGTGAAATATGAGCTTTTGTTATTTTATCCTTATTAACCCCAAATATTTAGTCAAGCAGTTTTAAATCATATTTATAGTATTATCCAAATATTCTTCTAGACATCTTTTAATTCACATTAATATTCTAAAATAGCTAAATAAATCCTTAATTTTAGACACCAGTCCTTGAAGTGTGAGCATTTACATTTCTTAGCTGTGGGAAAGCAAAAATGTTTGAGTGCCCAGGAATTAAAAACATTTATCATCTCCTTTATTCTGCTGTCATGTGTACATTTAATATCAGTCATATGGTATAAATTATTATTCAAAATCAGAATTAAATAAATTTGAAAAGTGCACCTTCTTGTGTATCCTCCATTAAGCTTTTTGTTACAGCAAATTTTGATGTTAAACAGAACTCTAATCCCCTACAGGTGTATTTGAAATGGATGTTCACTGCACCTTGCTAAATGGCTTTCTGTTGTATAAATGTCCTTGAAAGCATTTAAATTGCTATAGAAAAGATTCTTCTAAACGTCCATTGAGGCAGTTCCAGTGAGCAGCCGCTTCTGTTCACTCTGCTCACAGGTTAGGCTCCTTGTTAGGACCTATTGAATTGTAACATACTGATATATGATGACTCTTCTGGGATGTTGCACCATGTAATCTCACCTTCTTCTTCTTCTATGGCTCTCCGGTCCGTATTTAGTCCATGGCCTCCTCAATTCTCCTCTTCCATTCGGTCCTATCCTCCGCTGCTCTGTCCGAGTGTGGGGGTTGGTCGCAAGGCTAACAACCTTGCACCGTAAAAAGGAAGATGTTTCGAAACCTCGATCAAAGCCTCAGACAGACGGACCTAACAGAGGACCGAATGGAAGAGGAGAATTGAGGCCATGGACCGAACACAGACTGGAGAGCCATAGAAGAACAGCTGCTTCCATCTTCAGGCCCTGATGAAGGAAGTAAGCACCTCTGAAATGTGAGTCAGTTTTTGAAAGACCACATACGACGTATAACAACATCCCTAAAGATAATCTTCAACCTGAACGTTCACATTCTGGTATGAGATTTTTGAACACTGATGAACACTAAAAAGTATTCCTAACTATAACTATAAATTCTCATATTTCTCAGGATGTTTCATGTCCATTTCTGTAATTTATCAAATTGTTAACCAATTTCTGTACTTTGTTTCAGTTTATTGTGGCAGTAAAAGACCTGATCAAAGAAGACATTTTGTGAGAAGTAGTTACAAATTTCAGTGTGTTAATAAAATCAATGTTAAAATTTTCTGCAACAGTTGCAGTACTATTTGTGTTACTAATAATGAAGTCAAATAAAAAACATGATTAATTAAAAATTTTATTCTAACTATATAAATACAGGAACAATATTGAAAGAATAAACCAACAATATTTCATTTGTACATTAACATACTTTACTTCAACAAGGTAGGCCTACATCTGCAGATTTTGTAATGTATAAGGTGTGTGTTGTGTATGGCAAGCTTTTGCTTCAAGTTACTTTGGGGACAAGGGCTATGTAAATAAATTTATTAAAACAACATGCAAGAAGGTAGAAGAAGAGCGTTTCCACAGCTTCATTTCATCTCCTTCTCTGGAATGATGGAGGCAAAATACGGTGGGGGTGGCCTGTCATGATGATCCCTGGACGCTTCCACATCTTCATATGCCTGTAAAAGACGCAAGACTGTCATTGCTTCGCCATTGTTTGCTCAAGACAGACTGTGTAACAGATGTCTGATTAAAAATGCATTAGTTCAGAAGGAAAAAAAATATCTTCTTCACTAGCTGAAGAGTGGGAAAATATACTCCACCTTGGAACTCAAATTTCCCTTTACCCAGTGCATTCTTTGTGAATATGCATGTGTCATTAACACTGATGTTCATTTATTGCAGGCAGAAACTTATGTTGCAAAGCTGATCATTTAGAACAGCCAAAAATCAATTTTGCTTTGGTGTTGGCACAGCAGAGGTGGTTGTGGTAGTCGGCAGGTGGGTTGTGGCAAAGGCTGGCAGTGCCTGAACCATGTATAGTCACTGGATGCCATTGTCCCATAACAGGTAAGTGGAAGCTCAGTACAACAGGAAATATATCTGGCAAGAAGAGGGGACAGTGCACCATGCATCTGTAGATTAGAATCTTACCTATACATAAGCCTGTACTTCAATATGAATACTTATGGAGGAAAAATTAAATTCTAAACCCCAATATTTGATAGCTATCAATGCAGGAAACACTACTTACAACAAGTCCTTGCCTTTCTTCAGCACAAGATCTGTCAGTTGGTAATGGGACATAGTTGGTTATTTGGTGTACTATTATTTGAGGTCGGTATCCTGCGTAACAGTAACGGAAGAAGCCACAACATGATGACAGCATGATGATCAGAAAAACAATACCAGCCCTGGAAGTTATAAAGGCCTTAACATTAATGCAAAATATAATCAGGTAAATTCATAATTTATCCTTAATAGGCTTCATTAATCATGACAGCCCAATTCATATATATATATATATATGGTACTTATGCAGAAGTATAACTTCACTTTTATAACCACTTCATCTGTATGTGTTTTACTTCTACCAGTTGCATATTCTTGAATACTTCAGAGCTCAAATTATTTCACTTTGTGTACAGTTTAGGTTAGAAGATATGCCACAGTGCAGAATGACAGGTCATATTCTGAAGTGTGGCTAGAATACTGCTTGCTGTGTAATTGTAGGTAACTAGATGGATTTTTAATTTGCTGTAGAATGGAACTAATATATTTAATATTTGTTTATAGACCATTCCTACAAATCAATATTATATATAAACGGTTAATAAAATGTTACAATGACTTTATAAAGATCATTTCTACTGAGTAATGTGATTATTGAAGTAAGAAATAAGTTGCAGAGGCAGTGATGAGTCAAAACTCCATATAATATAATGAAGTGATGTTCTTTAAAATAAAAAGGACGGCTCTAGCTAAATACACACTCACCAGAAGTACCATAGACTGTATACATTGCTACAACACTGATTATCACCGCAGCAATACTTGTCCACATCACACAGATTCCATTCACAATAATACGCATGTGTCTGTTGACAAACAAAATTATTAAAGTGCAAATTTGCGCCTATACGTTAATGTATAAAACTACAACTAACTTCATAATTAGTAACGAATCTCTTTCAAGTAACCAAATTTATACTTACTATATCACTTAATACAACAATTTGTACAAAACAAAGAAATTTACTATTTTGCCATAGCGCCATGTTGTATTTGAATAACTTTGACAGCTCGTGCGACATCTACAAACAGATCATAAAATGTAAAATGAGCGGAAACGTTAAAAACAAGTAAAATGTTTTTAAGTAATCATTAAGGTATGAATACGAGAGTTACATATTTAACCTGACCTAGCTCATCTTGATGTTAATATATCCCCTCAGCATTTAAACATTGCTAGGTAGGGTTAGGTTAGCAAGAGAGCAAATTAATTTTTACGTTGGTTTTGGTTGAGCTAGGTTAGATTATTTTGGGTTAGCTTCGGTGGGGAATTTTCAGCTGCGAAGGGGTATATTCCTTTGAATTGGGTTAGGTTGCGCTACGTGGAGTTAAGTTATGTTTGTGATGCTCATATGCTGACCACAGTGTGCAGTATTCAGCATCTAGGAGGTAGATTTAATTCAATTTATTTAGGTTAGTGACATGCATGTGCAGATGGCGATGCGCAAATCTCGGCTACCAACTGGTAGATTTAGTTTGATTTTGTTACATTGGGTTATAAATAAGATATGGGGAAGTATCATGTTGCTTGATTTCCATCAAAGGTTTCAATCGGTGGTGTTTTTGAAAACTATGAGTTACTAATTATATAATTTAGATATATATAAATACAAATTCCGATCACACTACATTTGTGAAAACCAACCGCTGATAATGGAGGTAGCAAGCAACTTTGAAACGTCGGTGAACTTTTACCTGACTACATGGCAGTAAAAACCCAGAAGACAGCGATATTCACACTCGTCATAACAAGTGTGTCGCAAAGAACGTCAAGTCTATCTACTATTTTGCCCTCTTATGGCCAAAGCTTAAATTTTCGTCATGTAGCAATGGGATGTCTTTTGGTCTTTTGTCTTTACCAGCAGCCTCAGTTCGATGTCTAATAAATACATCCATTGAATTTGTTGGTATTGTCTGTGGAATGGCCTACGCTTTCGGTAGCACAGAAGCCAACATAGCATAGATATCTTTGTCGGCAGTACAAGTAAAGTTCTGTTTTTGATTTATAATGTGAGATTACTTATAAACCCATAGTAGATTATATGTTACCGTAGCTTTGTCGGACGTATCCGTCATCGGATTTGTTATTAATTAGTGAAAAGTTTGACTTCACAATTTGCGGTCGCTGTTTGTTAGAAATAAAATATCGAGAAAATTAACATAGCATGTAAATTAATGGTTTGGCATTATAGAATATAATTTATTTGTATTCCATAGATCCTTCTTAGGCCTAAGCCAAATATAAATATAAAACTTGTTTCTGTTACAAATATAAATGACATAGTTATGGCAGTAATGTACAGCCAACTGCAGTATTACCAAAAAAATAATTGCTTGACATGTTTGTATAATAGCTGAGAATTTTTGGTTGAGGTAAATTTTTCTGCGGAGTAGAAGGACTCGGAAAGGAGATGCCCTTTTAGTCTCGACTTTAACTTCTTTATATCGTGATTCAGACTTTTAGTTAGCTTAGTGTAGGGATAAGGTATTGAATATGTAAAGATTTCTGTCTCTGTTTCTGTGTACACAGCGCAACAACCCTGAAGACAGAAATCTTCATACTCACCGCTGTGAAAACCTCAAATCTTATATATTGAATATGTTTTACAATTTAAGCTATTGTCAATTTGTAGGCCAAGAAATTAGTTGTTTCTACTTCTTCAATTGCTCTATCCGCATGCACTATACCTAGATTAACACAATTTTTCTTGGTAAAAATTTCATGAAATTTGTTTTGTCAAAATGTAATGAGAGTTTAGTGGCTTTATTCCATTTGTTCAAGCTAGCAAAGACATTTTTCATACAAATTTGGAAACAGTCAATTTCTAGATGTGAAATAATAAGATTAGTATCATTAAGAAGTATTTTAGATGTTTTCAGTTTGCTTACTGTAATCAGTGAAAATATGTTTATTCTGCAGCTAGTAATATTTCCTGGCAAGCACAATGAATTACCCTGCAATTTTCATTTGATATTAAATAAACCTTATACAGAATTGAAAGACTTTGACTTATACCACTTCAGCTCTGAAGAGCTCATATTCTCTTTTTGTCACATTTACCTAAATATGTGAACTTATTTATTGTTAGTTACAGGATGATGTTTGGCATTCAGCAATGCCTCCTCCATTATTCAGTACAGTTCCGTCATTGCCGATGTTTGTGGTTGAATCTAGAAGAAACAGACTGACTTCACAGTCAGAAAAGCCTGAACAACTGAGTGTCCAATCAACTTCTGATGTTATAGCAGGTGGAACTGAATTAGAAACGCAGTGGAGACATCATAGGAAGGTACAGTAGATATCTGTGTTACTAGTGTTCATATGTTCCTTGCAAAAGTTTGAAATGTTTTTCTAGTCCTTGCAGCAGATATATATAAATTGTCATATCTGTATTCAAACATGGCTCTGTATGTGACTAATAGGTGTGTCCAGAATACATTCATACAAGTTTTCTTCACTCCTCTGTTCAGATTTTATTTAGACTTTGTTGATGAATTTTACATTCTCATCTTTCATACGTTAAAAATGGAATGTTAGATTTATTTTTTTCTCAGTTTTGCAATAAGAAATTAAGATGCATATTTTATGTTATGGCATGCAGAGATAATCATAAGGGCTGATCAACACATGACATGAGGGTTGGCCTGTGATTGTATCTTTCCATTCTTCAAAATATGTGCTTTCTTTGTTTTTTTAATAATGGCATTGAGTCTTGTCATATGTTGATGGTGATCTTGTGGGTGTGATGCCATGTGGAGTTGTAGGTAGAGGCAGTATGTTTCTTTTAAATATTTCTACCCACCTGCATGCCTGCACATTACAACCGAGAAGACTACCATTGATATCTTCACTGCCATGAGAACTACAAACATCATACTGCTGAAAAAACTTTATGAAAAGTGTTTGCTAAGTATTCCATGTAATTTTTTAGTTGATTTCAAATGACACCCGATAAATACTGTGGAAAAGTTTGGAATTAATATGAATAGACTTGGGCTTAAAAATGTGTTCTGTATAATTCAGTCCGTGGGTAGATACCACAGGTATGTCAGTGGTTTTAGGCTGGACAGCCCTAATATTTTACTTTCTAGGAATGTACTTTAGAAGTAGTTGTGGCTGAACATCTTGCTTTCTATGAAGACTTAAGTTTGATTCTTAGCCCAGAGGTCGGCTATCATCACATGAGTTTTTCTTTTATGGTTTTCCTCAGTCCTTTAGCTACTGGTTGAATAGTACTGTAAAATATGCTATGGTCATTTTTACAGGCATCTCATTTCATTATTTGCAGTCATCCCATCATTCAACTCCATATGATCTGTGTTGTAGATTGATTTTTAGGTTATGAGAAAGTCTTATTAAATAAATCTAAAGAGTTACTGGTTTTCATACGTGATTGGAACTTATGCATTTTTTATATATTTTTAAGTAAATGGTGACAGGAAATAGTGTGAAAGTAAGTGTATTTAAAACACTTAGAATACTTAATGTTTAATAGTGGCCTAGTAATTTAATATTAGCATTACATTGTAGCGCAGCAAACAAAGAAGTCAACTGGTAGATAAGCAAGTTGGGGATGGAAGCAGTAGCAAAGATAATGTGTCTGTGCATCCACGAAGGCGTCACCACCACAGGCATAAATACCACAGAGGTTCATCAGTCCAAGCAACAAAAAGGGAAGAATTGACATGCGAAGGGTATGTATGGAATTAAGAAGTGTGACATAGTATGCAGACCTGCTTTAAGATGTGATGTGTGGGTCTTAAGCGGCCCATCCATGTAGGAGTCTGACTTGCGAGTCTGGCTCGGTGAGCTTGACTCGTGAGCCAGGCTCAGATATATCTCACCACGCATGCATAGCAGACTCAGCTCGTGACACCCCACCCACAAACGAGTTTGGCTCAATGGAACCCGAGCCGAGCCGGACTTGCAAGCCAGACCCATACGTGGATGGGCCGCTTTAAGATCTGTCTATTAAAAAAAGAGGCTTGCAAAGTGAACATACATACAGCTTGTTATGTGAGCTTTTTCTCTGATATGTCTGCCATCTTCTATCACTCTATGTGGTTTACAGCATGTTCCTTGAAATATTTAACAGGGAACCATCTCAATCACAAGTGTCTGAGAACCCAATGGAACAACCACCAAAGCCGAAACCTAGGCGGAAGCTTCGTCTTACTGACGTAGAACACCGCCGCAGCCGATCTGTAAGTCGTGCTACTTTGTTGCAAGAGTCTGATGGTTTAACAAAGGAAAACAAAGAACTTTCCACAAACCTGCAGCAACTGTCACATTCTAGTCAAGATTCGGGTTATCAACAAAGTGAGTAGTGCATATTGTACATACATTGCGAAACCAAATGAGATTGTTACATGCACTCTATGGTATGGCAATATCAAGTAGCCTGAAAGATGACAGCACCTATATGAGTACACATACATAGGATGTGCATTTTGTTGCATGTAAGTTGTTAATTTAATTGTCTCTCTTGTTGGGTTAAATTACTGCAAAAATAATTGCAGTGGGTGTGTTTGGAAAGGGTTTATCATGTAACATGTTTTCTTTATTATAAAAAGTCACAGTACGGGGTCATAATAACTCCTTGCAACAGAGTATTGACAAGCTCAATATATATATTTTAATTGGCCTACTATATTCATACTGTCCACCGACCAGGAGAAAAGCCAAAGGGGGGGGGGGGGGTAAGGTCGGTTCTGGTGCAGTGCAGGGGGAATGTTTCTTATCAAGTGGACTAGAGGGCTGCTATTGCTGGGAAGTGTGATACGTACACACAGACTGAAAACATCAAGCAGTTAAGAGTAGCGTGTAGTGAGTCCACCTCTAATATGTTCTGTGGGTGTTGTGATAATATTCTAGATTAAATCAATGTGCCTCTGTGAGGTAATCTTAAAGCTGTACACATCAGAACACATGAAAGCCTGTTGTCTGTTGTTCGTTCATTGGTTGTGGAACGAATGCTTTTAGGATGGATCGTCAATCGCCGCGAAATCTTGCACATGCTCATATATCGAATTCCTAGCAGGGCTTTTCTCTTGATCTGTGGACTGTATTTATACTGATTTCAGTGGCACTGTAAAATAACTTACATCATAATTAATTCATAGGTTTTGTTGAAGTCTAAATAACTGTCCTGTTGTACTTACAGTTTTTCTCCAATATCTGAAAAATACAGAATGTCTGTTCAGAAGTTGATGATGTAAATTTAAATATATGCTAATGATCCCTCATAATTCAATTTACACGTGGGATTAACCTTGAGGAGAATGTTGGATAAACTTCTGCGTGAAATTTGTCAGCGTCATTATGGATCTTTATATACCATAAGAATAGGTAATTTCATGCCTACTTGAGTAACTGTGTAGCTTTTCAAGGAATGCTGAGCCATGGTGTTTTGTTATTAATGCATAACAGTTTAAATCAGGTTTCACATTGTGTTTCAGCCACCGTAAATGAAAACCTTTGCAAGAAAGAGGATGTTGAGATTCTGAAAGTTAAGCTCGTAAAACTTGAGTCAAACAACAAACATCTTAAGGAAGAGAGAGATGCCTTTAAGACAGAGTTAGAACACATGAAGAGCCAGGAAAAAAATGAGTTAGAGCAAACAGCTGCTCTGCAGGTTCAGAATCAGGAGCTAAATGAAGATACTACCTTGCTTAAGAACCTAGTGTACAGGCTTAATGTTGAGTTGGACAGATACCAACAGAAGCTGCACAGACATGGGGGCACAGGGGAACTACCTCCGTTGAAAGTAATGCCGAGTGAAGTTCAGGAGAAGGAAACTTCTATGGCATGGAGGAATGTCAACAAAAATTTACTTGGCTCTTTACTTGAAGCATATCAGGAAACAATAAATGAAAAAGATGATTTGATCCATGTTTATGAACAAGATTTAAATAAATTTGTAGCCAAATGTAAGCAAATTGTTGCCGAGAATGAGAAATTATATCAAGATCTGGAAGAAGCAAATAGGCAGGTAAGTGTTGCATTTGTCGTTCCTTGAAAAATTATCGAAGGGAAACGTGTGAAATATGAATAAATGTAATGTCAATTGTACAATATACTTCCTGGGACTCAGTCAGCTAAGTGACCAGCTATGGACTGGATGACTGGGGTTAAATTTCAAACATTGGCAGAGATTTTTCTTTTCCTCAGCATCACATGATGACTAGCTTTGGGCTATCTAGCCCCCAATTAATGAGTACTGTGGGACCTGTACGTTGATGAGAGAAAAATAGTAAAATTAAGTTTTAGGAAATAGGTTTGTGAACGTTAGAATTTGACTGAATTTAGCTCAGGACTGGATGCAGTACGAGCCTATGTGCTGGAGCGATGAATCTTCAGCTTCCACATTAGGATGGAATTTCTTGTTCAGGAAGTATTATTATGGAGTTATGTTAGTAGGTATGTAGATAGGTAGTAAGTTTCTTTGTTTATTAGTGAGTTGGCAACAATCTCTGACTGATTTTGTTAGCTTTTATGTTGGTCTATAGAACTCTTAGTTGATCTGGAATAGCTCAGTCATTATAGTGTCTGGCTAAAGACTGGGGTTTGAACCCTGGCAGGGGCACAGGATCTTTCTACTACCCTGTGTATCCAGACCAACTCTAGGGCCCACCCATTCTCCTATCCAATGGGTACTGGGGGGTCCTTTTCCCAGGGATAAATTGTGGCTGGGGCATGATGCCGACCACACCCACCATCCAGAGCCAAGATGAAGGATGTGTAGGAATACATCTCCTCTCCCCACAAGTACCTTCATGCCATGTAGCAGAACAGCTTTACTTTATATAACTTTTACGGATGTTGTAGAGTGTGCTTTCGACTTTGTTTTCTTGTTATTGTGTTGTAGGTAGAAGAGAGATCCAGTAGCTGGCACACTTTGCAGCAGGATGCGAGTCAGGCCCAGGAACAAAATGAGTTGCTTACAAATGAGCTTCAGCTGCAGAAAGAAAAGCTGGATCAAATACAAGCAGAGTGTGATGGAAGAGGTGAGTGTATGTTTGTTACAGACATTAGAAGTTTTGCAGCTTATATATTTCGTTTGAGGATATCATATTAGCCAGTAAACTTTACTTTTGCATCAATGCTAACATGACATTTACCTGGAATCTGAGTAAAGAAGTTCCCTTATCTCTGCATTAATGTGTAGTATAAGGGAAACTGGAAATGATGAATCATGATGGCTAGCCCTAATATTTGATGCAAATCAGAAAAATGATGAATGGTTTATAGTGATGAAAGAAACTGGGTACATATATTATGGGCAGAAATGTGTATTATTGGTTATACTTGGTAACACTATGATTCAGCTCTTTACAGAAGACAGGTACCAAACTTAAACAGCAGAAGATATTAGATCTATAAGTATTCTTTAATGTGCAGTCTATATTTGTGGCAGTATTTGCATATAAAAAATCTCTGGTCTCTGATGAAACCATGAAATTAACACCTGAGATGAAATGAAAATGAGTACACATGAGACATAAACTATGTTAAACCTGCGAGTAAGCAGAGCGGTGTGGAATGGTCATGTCCAAGAATTCTCCTAGGACAGAACGAAGGTGTTGCTGGATAGATCATATTAATATTCTGGATATGATTGGTGCTATTTTATAATACTGCATGGAAGAAGGAATAGCTTATTGCAACTTAATGAGTACTAAATTAATGTATGCTATCTCCACCAGATGTTGAGAATTACTTTCAGGTAGTTTTCCCCCACAACAGTAACACTTACCATCCAATGATTGGACATTGAGTAGGATAATTAAGTCTGGAATTGGAAATCATACCACAAATTATTCACCTAATGTTGCTCCAAGTGATTTCCATATGTTGACTTCTAAAAGAAATGTTTATGAGGAAGGTGCTTCAGAAAGGTGGTGCATTTTTAGTTTCAAAACCAATTGAACTAGTTTTATATTGATGACAGATAAGACAGTGATTATATTGAAAAAGCTTATTGGCCAAGAACATTTTGTAAAATAGCTAATGCAGTTAATTTTCATTAACCAGTACAAAACTCTCTTCCAGTTTTCATTTGATATTCCCTCATAAAAATTCAGTGAATTTCTTTATAGTGTTACTACTTGCTTTCAACGAATGTTATGTCTTCATGTCTTTATTTAGTTGCAGAGTTGACCAAAGACAATGAAATGTTGGTGAATAAGTTTCACCAGTATCGAGGAGATTTGTTGACTTTAAAGGGCCAATATTCCGTACTCAGGGAGGAGTATGATCGTTTGAAGAAAGATGCAGATAGCAAAGTTCCTTTTGCCATACATTCTGCCTCTGTTTCAGAGTGTAGACGGTAGGTTTAATGGTAAAACAACTTTAGAAGTGTGTTATTGTGTGTGTGTGTGTGTGGGGGGGTGCTTGTTCCTTTTTCTTCCCCCCCCCTCCCCCTTCTTCCCATAGTACTTGGGAAATACATGTTATGGGCTGGTTCACAAGACCCTGCCACTAGATCTTAACCTGAGCCAGTTTAATCTGGTCCATGCCTTCGTATCCTGTTTCTTTAATATATATATTGATATTATCTTCCCATCCATGCCTGTGCCTCCCAAGTGAGTTCTTCCCTTGAGGTTTTCTGACTAAAACTTTGTATGCATTTCTTATCTCCCCTTTCCATGCAACCTATCCTGCCCATCCATTCCTCCCTTTTGATTGGCTGCATAATTTCAAAGATGCACAAATGACAAATGAAAGTGACATGTATCCTGAGCACCTTCCAGCCAGTAGGAATGGTGAATCAGTAGCTCAAGTGTGTCATATGGTGTGACATAACAGAAGACTGACAGACTTCATGAAATAGTTGGAGGCAGAATTTATTATATCTCATGTCAGGCCATTTTAACTAAATATTTGGGGATGAAGTGCGTCTCAGCCAAGGTACTGCTTATTTTACAAAGGATTTGTTGTCTTTGCTGTGAAAAGCCACTCAGTAAAGTGACTGTCTTCAGACATGACAACCAGGGCTTATTCCCCTTCAGGAAAGCAGAGAATTCTTTACGTCACCACTGCATTTAAACTGGCTCTAGGGATCCACCAGATCTACCAAATGGTTAACAGGGTAATTTTCTGGGAATAAATATGAAACAGATCTCTCTGCTCTCTCTGATGCTAATACCAAGAGTGCATGGAGCTTGTTTAGGCAAGGAACAACCTTGCATTTATATTATTCTTCATTGCCCCATTGTGATGTTTCAGCAGTGTATTCTGTTAACCTTGCCTTTATTTGTGCTGCATTCACAGATGTAGTGAAGTTATAGTGATGCAAGTGAACTGTATACCAATGTGTACATTGAAATGTTTGTAATGCAGGTTGCTTGATGAGTTGAAGACTAAATATGAGGGAGACAAGAGCAATTTGACGAGCCAGGTTCAAGAATTGCAGTCACAGAAGCCTCATCTGGAGGTACAGCTTGTCAATGTGACAACTGAAAACAAGAAGCTGCAGGTCCAAGTTAAGACACTCGACAAGCTGCTCAAGTATGTTTTGATTATTATGGTGACGTTTCTTTATTTTCTGTCATATCAGGTGATATATTTGGATTGGAACAGAAAAAAGGCATGGAGCTGAGAAAATGTGCAAGGAGACTAAAGATTTTGTATCATAACAAATTTAGAGTTTTTTGAAACTAAAAAGCAGATGTCTTTCTTCATTTGTATAGTATCTAGGAATTTGATAATTTTCGAGAAATAAGAAACTGCTTTTGAAACCGTGTCGTAGATGGGAGAGTAATGTTAAAATGCATCTTAGAAAAAAACAGTGTGTGGATGTGCAGAATGGAGTCAAGTGATACACTTTTTAATACAGTAATGAATCTTCAGATTCCATAAAAGGGGTTTCTTGGCCAGCTGAACAAGTGTCAACTTGTCAGTGAAAGTCCTGTACCATGGCAGTAACATTTATGATAGAAAGCTCTGATGTAATTGTTGACAGTAATGACTGTTTTCCTTAGAAGCATCAAATTACATTTGGCCCTTGACTCATCAGTGTTTGTATGTGTTCCTGCCAATTACTTTACCATGGAGGTTATGTTAATATTTTGGTTAACATCTTAGGAAAATGCAGCATCGGTGTGAAGAATTACAGAGTCGCCTGGTGACTTGTCAGGTATCACGAGATGCATCAAAGAGACAACTCCAGAAGGCTATGACCTTTTCAGAAGAGCTTGTGGCAGAGCAAGAGAATCTTTTGCGTCAGCTGCACGCAAAACAGGAAGAGAACAATTCCATAGCTCGGCTGGGTACTACAATTGTGTATCGTATGGGTTCTCTGAAAACCAAACTTAAGGTGCATGATTCTCAAATACATACAAAACTGAATTGTTTATACAGTAGAAGCCTTATTAAAACAATTTCTAATTTGAATTTATTTTTAATTTTTAATCTTACTGATGATCTTGTTAATACTTTTTGTGTACATATGTTTAATATCAACAACAGTTAGAGGGGGTATTTCATATGTGGGACACATGAGAGATACTAACTAAATTTTGATTGGAAAATCTCAAATAAAGAGAACACTTGAAAGACCTTTTTATAGATGGGAGGTTAATATTAAAATGTATTTCAAATAGGATGGAAGTTTGTAGACTAGATTCAGCTGAATCAGGAAAGGGTTTAGTAGTCAACTGATGTGAATGTCATAATGAATATTTTGGTTACATAAAAGGCATTATATTTCATGACTAGTTGAGTGACTGTCAGCTTCTCAAGAAGAAGTCTGCTCCATGGAAATTGTTCATTTAATGGGACTGAAAGATGAATGTATCAGTCATCTTAAAATTAAATCAGCAAATTCATTGTTTTAGGTTGTCTTTCTTTTTCAGACTGTGCAAAAGGATGCATGGGCTGAACTGGATGTGGTCGAAAAACGCATTCATCAACAAGAGACAGATGTGGAGAGAATGAAAGATGAATACCATCGAGAAGTTATGCGTTTACGTAATCTTCTCAAGCAGAAGGAAATGATCATAGGTCGCCTGCAGCAAGAGAAAACGTATGTTAAAACTTTATTATATCTTAATGTGTTACTGGTTGTATGAAGATTATAAGTACAGGTAACCCTCGATTTATGCCAGGGATGCGTCCCTGGACAAACCGGCATAAATGTAAACTCTTTTTATAGTGTAAATCAATGGGAAGTCAATGACATGCATTCCCAGCACCCAAACATTGACGACTTAAGTTCCTCAAAAATTGACTTCACTTTCTCCGTGATAGCAATTTCATTCAAGGGAATGTTTTTTCGATTCATGTCATCCACCCATAGCAACAGTAATTTCTCCATTCTTTCTAAAAGTTTACTTCTGCTATAACTCACTTGCGTTGCACTTACTCTCGTAGCCTGTTGCATTGACTGTTTTATTTTATATGAATTTTTCATTATGGTAGTCACAGTGGAAGGAGGCAACTTCATACTTCTGCACACGTTACAACGGGTATCACCACCTTCTATTCTATGAATTGCGTCCATCTTATCTTCTAACGCAATACATCTACGCAACTTTTTAGCAACACATTCACTTCTCTTACCAGACATGGTGGCTCTCCTACAATTTATAAATATAAAACAGTTGCTACTGCAGAATAGTGGTCGAACAACAACACAAAACCGTTTAGCACACAGTTTTCAGCACATTCAATGTGTCAACAAGAAGCGAACTGAGCGCATTTTTCCTTACATCCTTATCAGGCTGAATGCAAATGACTCACCGTGAAGAGTGACCTATGCTCACGTGACTGTTGCGCAATGTTGGCGGATTTTTAGGAGATTAACTCGCAGCTACTTAGCAATGAGTGCAGAGGTGACTGTATTTATAATTTTTATTCAAAATCAGCGATGTAAGAATTACGATTTAGTATAAGAATCAGTATGAGAAACATTGTAAAACGTTATAAATAGTAGTAACATATAATTTTTTCACTTTTTGACTTGCTGGTTTCGAAAGCGGCGTTATTCTGAATCGGCACAAACCGAGGGTTACCTGTACCTAAGCATGATATGGAACGAAACATTCAGTTTCTCATTTGCCCACCCAGCATCCTATTCATTGGATAATAGGAGCTTTCCCATGGTGCTAAGTGAAGAAACAAATATTTTTCCATTTCTGACTGTATGCTGTTATGTGGTGAATGTGAGTTGTCTTGGTTGCAGAAAGACGCAAGAAGACCTTGAGGTTGTGTGGCGAGCAGCAACATCAGAAGATTTACGCATAAAAGAAAAGTTGAAGCAAGCTAACTTGCTGTCAGAAAGGGAATCTGACTTCTTTCTAAACCACGCCAGAACCTATAGTTAAGAACTGTATTTATGTAAAAAAGAGAAGTTTCCACATGGCACTTTGTTGGCCAAAAAAATTATGTAAGTTTCCAAATTACAACTTTAACACAGTATAAAAGATGTTTATATTAAATTCAGGTTGAATCTAGGCTGTATAATTTTCATTAAAATTTTGAGAGTCTCATAATATTACATGTCATTAATATTTAACATTTGTTATAATTGTCTCAAAACAAGTCCGTCCACAGTATGAAACAATAAGAAGTGTATTTTATATTATTTTTCTCTTGTGCTAATTTCATGTGTTAGCTGAAAAAGCAAAAATAATAATAATAATAAAACGGGCAGTGAAGATCCATGGTTGCCTCTGAAATTGAAGATTATTAAAATAAGAATTTGTAAACTGTTAAATTGTGTGTTAGAATGTTAATTAATGATATAGAAATTGTTTTATCGTATGTAGGATTTGTAACAGTCAGTGTAGGTTCCCTTGGATTTCTTGCACTTTCCCTGTAACTGACTTTCCTGGTTTTCCCACAACTTCCTCATTAGCACCAATGTAATCAGTTATTAACACAACCAGTTCCATTTAGTCACAATACTGGGAAAAAATAGCACAGATAGCTTAGATTGTAAGAAATGTTATACGAACATGTCCGAAAAAGTACTGCCCCACAGAAAATCGAATCTTACCCATAGAATTAGCCAGTGACATTCTTTTAATTTAACCAGCAACCACCGTTGCTTTTGCATGAGATTTGTGGCTCTCATGTTGGTGAAAGTTTAGATTGTGATTTTCTGGGTTGCAGTCATTTCAGAGGGACCTCCTACTTCCATCTTAATGGGTAGAAGATTTGAGCTGGGATCTAGGTAAGTACATGTAGATTGGGCTGAGGGAAATAAGTAGACTGGCCAAACAGACGTTCAGAACCCAAGGTTGGGAACTTAAATAGAGTTGCCTGAGCAACGAGGTAACAGAAGAAACAAAAGGCCCTTTTCAGGTCCAGGGCATAGGAAAGGACAAGTAAGTGGATATTCAAGTCTTGTCGTTCAAGAGGGTTTTCACTTGTTTCTTTAATGTGTGAATGAGTCTTCCGCGACCTGCCCAGGAAGAATCCATCTTGTTCATGTTACTGGGATGGAGCTTCATGTCTTAGGTTTTATATGCCTGGATTTTGTGGACAGGATACTGATGTCATATAGATGGATGCTATGACACAGGTTAATGCTGTGTTTTACTGCATTTGATTTCTCCAGATGATAAAGACAGATATGTCAGTCAGACCCAGATTATAATGAAATCCTGCTTGTCCTTTCCTTTGCACAGGTACTGGAAAGGGGCCTTCATAGTTACCATTTCTGATGGCTTGGACAGGACTCATCTCCTATTCCTGGCTGTGGTTGACCAGCCTTTTCGTTTCCTTCAAACCATTGGTAACCACCCACATGGTATGGCAACTCTGATCACAATCTAAACAATGTTTTTTTTTTACAGTATAATCTCTGTAGGTAGCTTTACCATTTCATGAATGTTTCTCACTTTTAGCTGCCATTAATCGTATCACCATGGTTAGGCTTCGATACAGCCTGCCCTATGGTTCTTATTGCTAGACCTAGTGCCAGAAATCATGGCATGCACTCAGAATTGTTATTTTAATTTATCTCAGATGAGACCACTTGGTTGAAACGGGTCAGTTTGCTGCATGACTCTGTGTAGAGCAAATCATGTGGTAATGGTTATTATATCACATGATTTTTCTTCTATTGCTTGCGCACACACAGAGGTATCCCCACCACCCTATTTCCTTTCACACAGGCATATGACATGACTTGTGGCACAAACTCTATTCTTGAAAAACTATCCTTTTGTGTGTATCTTTGCATGGAGGTAATCTTCCATTTTGTGGCAAGGTTGTTTTACCTTGACTAGTATACAGGTGCAAAAAGCCTTATAAGCTGAGATTCTCCAAACACATTCACTCGCACACACTTATCTAATTCATAGGGCAGAATCGAATACCTTGTTTCTAGAAGTAAGATTATTAAATCTTACAGCTCTGGAAGTTTCATTTCTCTTCCCTCTTGGGGGAATTGCTCAAATTGTGTGGGGCATTAACTCTGTCATAATCTACCTTAATAATCTTTGTCAGATATGTGGCAGTAATCACATATCTGGTTTCAGACCCCTCAGTTTGGCAGTTACCTCTACACTAAATGCATTGGTTGTGCCACTATAATTCTCTCTTCTAGAAGACAATTTCATAAATTCAGAGTGTAGTGTGTCTCAGTACTTTCTCTGTGTTCAGTGGCTGCAGTAATATATTAATTACTGGAATAGTGGGAGTGTTTTTATCTTAGTTCCTTAAGCTCTTTTAGCTTTTATACAGCAAGTAATTTTCTTACAACTAAATAACTGCAGATAATCTTCTGTGACATGAGGATAGATAAAACAAAAATGTTATAAAACACATCTTAATCGATTGTATTAATTTTAGATTTATTTAAACTTTGCTGTAGATAGTTTGATAGTGACTGATGGACTTTGAAGAACTGGAAGATTACTGTAATTTCAAGAAGCTAAGGGTAATATTTTACACTGATTCTGCTTAATAAAGATGTGATATAATGATAATGTCACTAGTCAATATGAGTTTGTTAATAACAACTTTATCTTATTAACATCTTGTTTGTGTTAACAGAATTATTACTATTGTCTTTATTTGAAGTAGCAAGAATTTGTCTGTTTTCTGATAAGAATGCATTCTTTGCACTAAATGCATAAAATTAGTGTGGAAAGTCACACATTGCTGTCCAACACTTGTTTCATCATCTTAACTGTTCAACAGATTTTGATTAAAAAGGGTGATCTGTAGTTTCAAATAAAATTTGTGCATAAATATGTTTTGATGTCTGTTGGTCCAGTATAACCTCTACATAAAACACAAATTGTACTTTATATATAATTTTTCTCATAAATAGATATATGCACACAAAAATTGGCATATAACTAAAATTATAGATCTCATTAAAACCTACAACTTTTACTTGAAACATTTTTAAATATTATGAATATTAGTTGCAGTACAAGGAAAAATTATGCTTGTGCACTGTGACATGAAGAATAATTATTTTTGCAGCAGTAGATTTATACCACTAATAAATGACTATGAAGGAAAATGTGGCCTGCAAGACTTAAAGAATATTTTGGAGAATATGTAAACTGCAACTTGGAGTACAACTTTCTGCATTTATTTGTATAGAATATTGTTTACAAGGAATGTAAGACAGTCTTGGTTGTAGTCTTCATTTACGTGTCTGTTGACTCATTACTTTGTTATGTGGCCCAAGAGCAGGCTGCATAATAAACCCATAACAGTTGAAGACATTTCCATCTGTTATTGTCCTATTACTTTGTCACTGATATATGTGGGAAGGGGTGGGAAAGAAAGATAAATTCCCCCCTTTCTCTGACAAAGCAAGGCTGTGAGCTCCAGTGGCAGTAATGGAAGGAGTGGTAGTGACAGTGTAACTTGTGATTTGGTCACTGTTATGTTTGTCTGTGCATAAGTTTGTCATTCAATTTACTTAATATAGCCAGTAGACTAAAAAATTTAAATTGTAGTCAATGATATTACCATGCTGAACTCTTCACATTTGTAGATGGTTGTCTTGTAGGGTATTGTCCTGATTATGGAGGCAGTAAGCTCCTGTGAAAGATAGGTCATGTCTACCAGACTATATGGCACAATATCCCAGAAGACAGCCGTATTCATACGTGGCTATCAGCAAACTCACACGGACAAAACTTGCTGGTTTGTGTACATTAACGGTGCAGTATGTATGGCACAGTGATAAACACAATAGTATGTGAATATCTCTTTATTGTAATGTACGTATTAAATCATTTTGATGCACATTATGTTTTCACTGCTTATCGAAAAGAATATAATTTTATGGTAAAAATCTTAATTTATTTTGAGGTTATGTTATTTATGTATGTATATAAATAAAAATCACACAGATTATGAACACATACATAAAATATTCAGTATTTATGTAAAATTGAGAAATTTCACCACAAATGGAGAAGATTATTCTTTGATGTGGACTGAAATCAAATTTTGCAATATAGGGTAATACAGGAACATTATACTTCTGTCAAATACCACAGTAATGGGGTTAATGTACTGGAGTAAAAGATAAAGAAGGTGATCTTTTTGCTGTCAGGCATGGTTCTGACTGTTTGGATCTGTTTACAGTTGTTATTGATAGAGTGCCAAGGAAGATGATAGGATTTGGTTATTGAACACACACAGGCGATGAGAAATGAACAAACAATTTTGGTTACAAAGCGTGGAGAGAAGAGACTGGAAGATATGAATATGGGAGGGTAATATTAAAATGAATCTTTAGGAAATAAGGTGGGAGGGTGTAGACTGGATTATTATGACTCTGGATAGAGACTGGTGGAGAGCTATTGTAAACATGGCGATGACCCTTCGGATTTCATAAAAGGTGCGGAATTTGTTGACAAGCTGCGTTACTCAAGATGAACTCTACTCCATAGAGTTAGTTAATATGTCTTAGAAAATGATGTAACTTTTGTTAAACCAATATTTTTGTAGAATCTGATTCAACATTATGGCTGCTCAAAATTCATACTAGCTTCAGGTGTGACAGCGATAATCAATGAACCATTGGACCTGTAGAGAACTTTACAGAAATAATATTAAATTGTATGATTATTAGTTTTTATATTCCTTGCTAGCTTCACCCAACATGCACATCGAAGCAACTGAAGGATAATAGGTATAATATGTTCTTTCCAGAACGTTATGTTGTTTCTGCTGACCCTGTTCTTTATCGATTGTCCTCATGTTGGATGCCTGAGACACAACGGAACATTCTGCCTGCTTAGTGTCATTGTAAGGGAGCCTCTACACAGGATGATGTACATTGATATTAGATGCTACTGTCATTCCATTGTACCATGTTACATGGTCAGCTGACACATGATACAAGGACATGCCACCTGTGTTCATTTGTTATACATAGCTAAATATAGATGCGGAATTCGTCTGTAACTGTATGGTTGTTACGTAAAGTATTATTCTTAATGGAATATGGACTTTGTCTCATTTCACTCTACATAAGTTTTCAAAATTAATAATTGAAGGCATAACAAACATTGACCTAAATCTCAGATGTAAAGAACATAATTTTGCTGATCTGTAAGTATAGCAGGTACAGGGCACTAACATAATTAACATACTCCAGTTATGAATTAGTACCTTGTAACCAGGGATGTTCAAAGTATGGTTTACAAAAGAAATTAGGCTTTTCTCTTCAGTTTCTATGTATTATTAATAATATAGCCTTGTATCCATTTTAATTGTTGGTAAAGGCATTATATAATCAACAAACAACACAAAAATATAAAATAAACAAACAAACGAACTATTAACACTATAAAAAAGACACTAGTGTCATACGCATTTCAACCTCAAGAGGTCATCATCAGTGGCAACTAGGAAATTAATTCATTTAATCAAAATGGTATGGCACTAGGGTATTTTTTATAGTGTTAATTGTTTGTTTGTTTGCTTATTTTATATTCTAATACACTACACGGCATGCAACGTTTTAACACAAAAATGTTAACATCGACAGTTATCAGTGCGAATTTGGTACAAATTTGAATGCTGTATGATGTACCTAATCATTAAATGATTAAAATTCTAATGATATTTTATTCTTACCTCCACTTGGTAATGAGAATGAAAATATGTGCAGTTCAACTCCATGTCTTCATAATTTTATTTATTTTCATCTCTCAGTTTGCCTGTTTGAACACCCTTTTTCTCAGTCACTAACCTAGCTCAGTAAAATGTAAAACTGTACTGCTACGCACCATATAGGCGTTTGGAGGGAGAGAAGGTATAGCTCTTGCTCATTCTTTACCTCAGCACTAGATGGGGTGGGCTGTCATTTCATTTGATTCCAGAAAAGAAAAGCCTGGCATTGGAAGCCCACTGATGGATATCACATGATGAATGTGTGTGTCTATGGTCTATTTTTTATACTTTATTACAGATAACAGTGAGAGGGAGGTGCAGTGTTTAGCAAACTATTTGCTGGGAGGAGATGGTGGAGTATGTCATTTCAGATTAAGCTTATACTTTTAAATTGTAGTTAGAAAGTTTAGTACGTTATAATCTGGAGTTTTCTCTTTTCCATCAGCTGTTTGGGCCCACTCAGTCTTCTATCCAGTGAGACCCAGAGTTCTTTTCCCAGGATTATGGCAATCAGAGCTTGGTTCTGATCACTCAAATTCATCTGGCAGAGCATTATCCCTTGACATGCATGGCCTGCTGCTTGAGCTCAAGGTAACTTTGTCTTCTGCCTTCTTAATGATACACACTCAGTAATTTAAACATATTAGGTCACATGAAATTTCGTAGTGAGGTGTGAAAAATTGTCTACATTCTTCCCAGGTTTCAGTTTAGAAATTCATAGACGATAATACGCAATTAGGGTTCTAAAAACAGAAAATTCGTGTTAGTTGCTCATTTGAAGCAGCTGCTTGAATATTGTGGTTCCGCGGGCAGACATGACGTTGATAATCCGTGGATATGACACCGTAAAAACCAGTTTCCATGAAGGTCAGCAAAACAAATTCAGATGATAAATATTCTTGTCCCTATGGGTTGGAATTTGTTGCTGCCGACAGCCGTTATGCGAGTTTCGCGTTCAGAACGGGTTGGCGGTTGGTTAGCGGGGTCTGAGTTGTCTCGAGTGCAATAGTTTCTTGCTTCTCTGGACTTTCCAAATGCTGTTTCCTTGAGCGTTTGTTGCAGAAACAGATCTTTTATCGTAAATCGTGTGACTCTGTGTTCCACAGAGTGGCAGCATAGTTGTATACAACACTGAAGACAAACTATTGTCTACGATTTGAACGGCGTTGGGTCGTGGGTCCCACCTTTCTCGTGTATAAAACAACGTTCTGCAACATTTTTTACCTGCGGCACGCCCTAACTTGTCACAGATACGTACGAGGGTACGAAACTATGAACCATTGTCTCTCGCTCATATTTCTTCATGGTGTGGTGCTTAATTAAGAACAGAGACTACATTATCTTTAGTTTTGCATTCGTATTTCTACTGAAAATCGTTTTGAATAGAAGTGTCGATGTCGATAAGCGTAAGACATTTTTAATGGGGGGATAGTGATAAGCTTAGATTTCAGTTTCATATGCAATGAATATCGATATGCACCACATTTAAAGACGTGCGAGAATTCATATGTTAATTTCCAACACAAAGCTTAATCAAAACCCGTACGAATAATTTCGGAGAAGAAATGTGATGCGGACAAACAGGACCTCTGGCAAGGTCATAATGTTGTTCATTGTATAATCCATTTTATGTAGTTCAGTTTATACATGGAGTGTAAACAATAGTCATTCAACCGATTCCTCTTCTTAATGCGATTTGTTTGACGGAAATGTTCATTAGTTCCGTGTTTGAACTTTCATCTCAGGTTTTAAGCGCTGTCTGTGCGCCATAGTTGGTTTGTTTTGTTAAACGCATTCACGGTCGCGGGTTACCGACTGCAGTTGAATCTATTAGAATCCAACGGAGTATTTTACAACCGGTGTGTTGCGACATTTTGAATTCGAAAGCATTTCTTCACATTTTGTAATTTAATCAACATCTGGTTCTGTTTTGTTGTGTAATTGTTCTTGGCTCTGTTTTTATATTTATTTATATGTAGTTTATTTTTGTTACGTGTATCAGAATTTGTATTTTTAATCTTAAAATCATACTTCTATATCACTTTCACTATTGCACAATGTTGATATTCAGATAATTTTTATTAGTTGTAACGCGTAATAAATTATATAATTGAAAAAATAAGTACCTGCATTGTTTTCGAATGCACAAGTGCACAGAGCCGACTAGTGTAATGATAAGGTTTATATTCTGGAGGTACCTGGTTCAAACCTATACTAAATTATTGACTGTCATTAGTAAGTCTTTTTGTTTTTCTTCTTCTCAATTTCTCCGGCCGTATGTAACCGATCGGTATCATAGAACAGGACACGCCTCCCTTATTTTAAAATTCCTAATTACGCACCGATCATCATCCAATCTCATTCGACTCTTTGTAATCTCTGCTGTTCAAACAGAAATCAACACTCTTTAGCGTTCCACTAGGAGGTAAACGTTGACCCAGCCAGCTGACATCGTTCGTCCACCCTTCGGACTGTCAACTCTGAATAAGGACCAGTGCTTACTGGATCCCATTTGGACTCTGTGCTCTACCAGAAGCCCAAACGTTTTCAGAAATATGTTAGACGGAAAAAAAGTCTAATTTACGAGTGCTGCTATCATTAGGCAGCGTTTACAAGCATAGACCAAGATCTGTTTCTAATGTGTGTGACGAAAATGTAATAACAGGGGTGGATATGGAATAAGGCAGGCAGGAGGGAAGAAGAATAAGGTATGAAAGGGACAGAGGAGAAAATGAGTAAGGGATTAAAATACGAAAAAAATTGTTTTTCCATTATTTTTTTGCGTAATTGGCCATCATAATTGTTGTCTTTGCAAGGGAGGAGTGCTACAGTGGATGGAAGTGTCAAGACTGTATTACTGAGTCATGACCTCTAGCATTCCCTGTCCATTCGTCAGCTTAAAATTAATACTCATTTCCTTATAGCCACGATGGACAGGTATGATGACTCAGTAAAGTGAATGGAGCGAGGCTAGACGACCGGGTACCTATTCCTAGAAGAGAAGGGGGTTTTATTTTTTGTTTACGTGTCTATACCGGCTCTGGGGCCTAGTTAACCTCCTGTCCAATCGGGGGTTTCTCCCCACGGGTTTAGAGCGGCCAGAAAGTATCGTAATCTGCATCTAATGCAGAAACTAAGAATAAACAGAATTTTACCTCCGCTTTCTTGTGGTGAGACGGCTTAAGACATGACTAGCCAAAACCCGTCGCTGGGTGCAGCATCACCTTCAGCTATAACGATCTATTTTAATTGGTTAAAAGTTCAAATTGAATATTTATAGGATGGAGTGTTGGCATTAATTTGTGTTGCTATGACGACACTTCTATTTCTGGACTTAAGTGGGCGGACAACTCATACAGGTGGGTCTGACTCTGCAGGTCAACCAAGTTTTATATACAGATTGCCCGCTTTAATTTCTGCATAAGCAGACACAGCAGCGAGACAAGCCCTTAACACAGCCATTCTGTCTTTCTGCAGACTTCATGTTCCAGTATTATACTGGGGTTGGCCAGCTTTTGACACCTGTGCCACATGAGGCACTAGATGAGAATAGCTTATCGTAGGTTTCGTCTGTATTAACATCTGAAACTGCTGTCTCATTCAGTAGCTTTCTAATCCACAATTATTTTGAGCAAGGAACATATTTGTTCGTTGTCTGTTTTCATCCCGATTACCTTAAAATAAAACGCGACGTTGTATTTTATTCCCGATGTAGTTTATATAAGCAATGCTTCTCATTCGAGAAAAGACAAAGTTGACTCCAGTGCTTAACTAAGCGCCACATCGTGCAGAGGTCCGGGGGAGTGGAGTATTTAATGTCAGACTTACCACTTTGACGGTATTATACTGTAGTAACAAGGACCTCTCGCTCATCTTATTGGGAACTACGATGTAATTGTGATGTAATTTTCGCACCGAAAGCGAAATGTTTATCATTCATATTGTAAAACGAAGATTAGAAATTATGGCCCCTGGACTGGAAGCGACCTTGAAAAAATTAAATTTGCCTCTTCGAGATGTTCAGATATTAGTTTGGTATCGGCAATATTTAGTATAATAACAGCATTATTTTTACGTGAATGTGAACGAGTCTTGTTTCGTACGCCGATTACTAGGGGAGAAGATATTCATTCACTGGAGAAACTGGATACGTTTTAGCTCGGTTTAGCGTAATTAATTTAATGGGTATATACCTCTTGGAACGAATATGTTGAACAATGCCCCTCATATGAGTCACAAGGGATTTTGAAGTCTAATAGCTCGCTCATTGTCGCAGTGTAAGTCGAACTCCACACTCATAATTCCACCCCTACTGTTCTTTAGCCGTCATTCCAAAACTGAGAATTTTCTAAGAGTCCCGCGGATAAATTTCTATCTACAGATACATTTTGTTATGAACGTCAACATAAGAGAAATAGAATACTCAGGGAGGTTTAATTACGGGCTTTGG